GGCTAAAATGAAACGAACCTCAAACCTGACAGAAGGATGAAATCATATGCTAGTGAAGAGGCAAAGAGCCTCACACCGTCTAGGAGTTAGGAGTGCAGTTCAGCAATGGAGGACTTGCTGAGCACAGGGTTCAGCCTGCTCCCCCACAAGAGGCAGATCAAGACCTTCAGGCTGGTTAGGGCAGCTGGGGCCCTCAATAAGCCACATCCGAACTCCAATAAACTTCCCTTTCCCCTGAGGGAACTGAATACTTTTATACTTATCCCCATTCAGAAAATCCAACTAAAACATATATTTTCATAAAATCCAAAATACATGTATCAGAAGTTAAAAGGCAGGCACTGAGGAGGAGCTAGACCGGCACGGGAGCCAGGTTTCAGCTGTCTCACGTGTCTCTCACAGCTCTCCTCACTGTGGTCAGCAAAGCTAAGCGCAGTGGTGGCAGCCAGGTGGGCTCCCAGCCTTGGCCACTGGTTCCGCTTCAAGAGCACCGTGCCGTGTCCTCCCTGCCGGCGACCCGGCTAACCGCCGAGCACAGTGCGGCTGCCCGAGCCCGTCTCCTCAGAAGGTGGCTGAGACCTAGCTTCTCCCGTGCTCTCAGAGCTCCCTCCTCGGGGTCAGGCACCGTGGGCGGACCCCACCACACTGCTGGGCTGCCCTGCCGGCCTGCTGCTGAGGACACGGTGGGCTTTCTGACGGCCCCCGCACGTCAGCTTGAAGCCTGTCTGCTTATGAAGAGACAGAACGAATGACTGTTTTAAGACACCAAGTCCCAGGAAGGCTTATTTTACAGCAATAGATAACTAAAAGGAAGTTGTTATCTCTATTTTACAGCCAAGAAAACAGGCCCAGAGAAATCGAGTTGTTTACTTCTCTAGTCACATCTCGTAGGCAAAGACTCTGGACCTCAAAGTGACCAGAAGCCCACGTTCCTTGTAAGATAATGGAATGACTTCTGTTATATGTTGTTATCTTTGTTTTGCAATACTGTTTTTGTTTTGTTTTGTACTGGGGACTGAACTCAGAACCTTATGCTTGCCAGGCAGACACTTACGCTGCTGAGCTATCTCCCCAATCCCAATACTGGGTGCTGAAACCAGGGCCATAGCACTGAGCCACATCCCAGCCTTTTAAAAATTTTTTGATACATTAGTTTTGGGACCTGCCTGCCTCAGCCTCCCAGAATGCTGGGATTACAAGCGTGCGCAATCACAGGAACCTGAGAGCATTACAAATGGCTAGGATTTCTAAAAGCATTAATTTTACAAATAAAGCATCCTTATTAGGCAAATTGCAAAAAAAATTAGACTTGCAAGGGTTTGAAAAGAACATTTCTACTTTGCCAAATGATGCATATCTATTCATGATTTTGGAATCATGATTAGCACGGTTTAGAGAAGTGATCAATTTTATTAAGCAAGCGAATGGGCATAAGTAAAATTATACAATGTATATAAATATATTTGCATTACAAGATCTCTCATTGTTCAACTAAATATTTAACAAGATCACCCAACTTAATGACAATATTGGTTTTAAAATTCAACGAATAATTACAAAGTGCCTTCTGGCTACTCGCACTAAGCTCCTTGGGATGTATCAATGAGCACAAAGAGTCCTGTTTGTCGTTTAGAATGAAGGAGACTAAAAAGAAACAGCACGTGATGAGCACGTAAGGCCTGCAGTGGGCCAGGCCGTGGCTGAGCAAGATGTGCAGGGAGAGGGTAGGAAAGCGGCAAGGAAGCCCGGAGGACAAGGCGGCTAGCAAAAGCGTTTGAAATAACAAGGGTAGAAAACCTTAAATTTACTCAGTATCAGGTCTGAATTTCTGTTAAAAAAAAACAAAGGACTGCAGTCTAGGAAAGAAACCTCAAGTTATCAAAAAACTTAGTTAAGTGAGTGTACCGCTCCGCTATTCAGTGTGCCAGTGGAACAAGCCCGTAAATCCACACATCTTGTAACAGACACCCGGGCCACGCTGAAACACCTCAGCAACGTACTATTTGCTGTTCTTTTCTGACAAGCAAAGCACAAGCGTGGCACTGATGGGAATAAAGTGAAGACTTCAGTCTGAGAGCCACAGGTTGCACTCTTACCCCGGATTTGACTGAAGCTTTCAAAAGCAAAGTTACCTTGCACTCACATGAGGTGCAAGGTAGAAAGATGCCCACTACACCTGTCTCTGTCACATGTGAAATATGTGTATGTGAAAGATACACACTCGCAAGTGTGAGACCCTGAGGATCTAGGTACTGGACAGAAATTCTACACTCTGGCCTAATTTGGAATGCATAAAATCAACTCTGGGGAGAAAATGCAAATCGCCAACTATTCTGTCAGTCTTTGAGTTTGTAAACTGTTTCAACATCTAGTTTAGTCTTGAATTGTGCTAAATATATTGCTACTATTGACAAAGAGTAAAAAAATGTTCAGAAAACTCAAGTCAGATTTTTGGCAGGACACTAACCCTAACCTGAGCATGAAAGCTGAGCCTAAAAATAGAGCCAACTCGCCCTTGTCTATGCATCAGTGAAAGGAGCACTTTTTAATCTCTTCAGTTGCAGATATTAGTACAAAGCATAACAGGTTAAGGAACTGGATAAACTTTATTTCTTTTAACTGCTAATGACTGCTAACCTCCTAGTGCACTAACGGTTTCCTTTTCTAAAGTCTAATAAAACACAGAGTTTGGCTAAGCACTACCAAGTTACGAGCTTACAGAGATGAGGAGCTCCCTGTATGTTTCCCTTCTTTTGTAGAAAACATATTGTAAAACAGAAAAAGCCTTGAAAAGAAGGCTTCGGCCACAAGTGCAAGCCAGCCATGTGTACTAGCTCCTAGTAATAACGAAGCAGTGAACTCCCTAGGGATGATAAGCTGACACCTAGCAATGCTTGGGTAACTAAGGCTGAAACTGTTGATGTGACACAGCCCCCACAAAGCCCTTTGTATTCCCAACTGGTGAGACCAGGTGGTTGGAACCCACACCCTTCTGGGGTGCACGCTAGGTGGAATCAGGGAAGAACCGAAACACTGCCACTTTAATACACACACACAAACACCCCTACACCCTTGCACACACACATGTACACACACACACAGTGAAGATGCAGTCATCCATCCTCCAGGGAGATCTAAGACGCCCAGGTTGTTTGCTCTCACAAAACTGCCTACTCTGACTTCTTAACGTGATGATGGGGGTGGGGGAAAGAGGCATAAAACGCTGAGGACCACTGTCTGCCCACCTTTGAGATGAAGGGTGGCAACCTCATTTCATAGATATTTTAAGTAGCTGTAAAGCCCAAGTGGCTCCAACTTTAAGCCTGTGTTTAGATCAGCTTTGAAAAAAAGGCTACTCTTCTTCACAATAACTAGGCTTCGCTTCTGATGCCAGCCTGTGCTCTGCGTTTGAAATGGGCAACCACACCCGTGAAAACACGACCACCTACAGATGGCACCGTACATGCCACAGCCCATCTCCTTGGCACCCACACGCACGAGTAGGCAAAAGGCTTTTGTTAAAAAGAAAAGACAGCTTCAGGCACCATGCTATGATGATGGCCCAAATCAAAAAATTAACTTTACATTTTAAATTCTTAAAGAGATCTATAACCATGTCTTGATAGCAGGTTTAAAATCTAGGGACAAGCAAACAAATGCAAACTATCCAACAAACGAAACCTGACCCCCACCTGACCTGCAGCACCCACCCTGCTCTTCTGGATTCCCAAAAGAGCCTGAAGGCCTGGGCTGGATGTATGGTAGTCCATGGGAACATCTATTTCAAAAATCAGAAAATCCAATTATTCACATGCAAAACTACAGAGCTGTCTGAAGTAAAGACTGCTTATGGGGCGAAGCAGTTCCCGCAACGCCTGCTGCTCTGTGATTATTGGCCTGCACCCTTTTTACTGAGGACATTAAAGGCTCCTTTTTTTCCGTCCTGCATGCTCCTAAAGTTACAGAGCCTGGCCATCTCTGACAGGTCAGTGATCAAACAGAATCAGGCGGTAGTCAAATTCCTATGTCTCTCAAGATGACCACAGTCAAGACTTCCCAGCCTCTGATAAGCACTAGGAAGCACCTTCCCATGCTGAATGGGACAATGAGTGCTTTCCACACACATTTAATATTCTTAAGTGCTTCTCAGACTTTCAACTCAATAATTTCCCAATAAAAAAGTTATTTTATGAACAAGATTTTCTGCCCCAAACGAGTCAATTATAAAACAGAAAAATGTGACCTCATCTTTCTCTTTAAAAAAGATACATAAGGTTGTACAGAAAATAAACCAATGTTGTATTACCTGAGCGATCAAAGCCTATTTATTTAACCAACCTTATCTTTGAATAGCACCGGCCTTTGTAGAACAGTTTAATTTACTTAACATATTTACATTCACATGAGCAAACTGCTGCGTGAGCTCTAGAGAAACACAATGTTTTGCTGAGCCGCAGAACAAGACGCAGGCTGTCCATCGTGTCGAGAAGCAATCGTTCTACGCGTTTCTGACAATTCAGCGCAGCCTCAGCCAGCCACTTCCCAGCCTCTTTCATCCACAAGCACTGAATCCTTGCAGATGCAGCCATTTGCAAGGAAAAGCAAAGCAGAGCGCTATGCTGCTGACTTCAAGCTACACGTACAGTGCCTGACCCAGCAGAGGGCGCCACGAGCGAAGAGTGCACATGGACACCAATTAACTTTAGAGGACTTAATGACAAACTTTCAGATGCCAAACACTTCTGCCACAAATGACTTCTGCAGAAGCAGCCAAAAGCAATGAAGCATTGAACAGGCATAACACAGCAGGCAGTGAGATCCGAAACATTTACCCTTCCACCTCAGGCACGGTCGCCTGCCTAGGAAAGTGGAGATGCCCTAGGAGACACTGCCCTTGCACAGGACCTGTGGTTAAACAGAAGCCTTAGTTGCTGACCACGGCAGTGATACGTACGTGAAAACAAGTCTTTCTGATGTGGAAATCTGCAGACAGTACTTACACAGCCTCCAGCAAGGATTTCTGCTGCGAGTGGTATTGAACCATCTTTGTGCATAAATTTGTCCCGCACAAAATCATTCACCTTAAAGAAAAATATTTACAGAAGCTGATGATAATTATAAATAAAGTCATTAAACAGAAGAATGCATCTGCCAACTTATTTTTCTACTATGTAAATGATAGCTCTGAAAACTGTTTGAGAGATACTCTTAATAGTATATACATAGTTGTTTTAAAGGTAAAACATGCTGTATACATTGCTGGTGTTGCCGGGAGAAAAACTAAGATAGGTGGTTGATAAGCCAAAAATTTAAATATGTCCTGTAGTTACAATAGCATGAGAAGAGAGACGTACTGACAGGAGAGACAAAACAAAACCATTCAGTCCATAATTTAAAAACAGTTTTACAAGATTAAAAATCACTTTCGAGTCTTCTAACAAGATTTAATGTAAAATAACACTCCTCACTGAGACCAATTTGTACAGATTTTTCAGCTCAGTGGAAATTCAGTATCTAAAAATTCTCAAGGATTCTTAAAGAACATCAATTACACTCATTAATTAAGTATAATATTATCAAAATGAAATGAGCTATAAGCAATTTTAAGGAATAGTTACAAGTTTTTGGCAGCTAAAAGCCAGAGCAGCTCAGCTATCTCAGGTCGTATCATAAAATGGTGGAAGAAGGATTTCACGGCAAAGCTAACGGCCCCGCAAGTCTCTGGAGCTTCACAGTCTTAGTGACATGCAGTATCTATCCCTCCACAAACACTTGGGCAAAGCTCAAACTGTCAACACGAGTCAGGCCTAAGGCAAACAGTGATGAAGTATCAATTGCAAGTAGGATGTAGATCCCACACTATTCTGCTTGGGCAAATGCTTACATCCTAAACGTACAACCTATTTAGAGCAGGTGTAACAGAAAGAGTCCACATTCTGAGTTGAGAAAGTCTGATTGTGAATTCCAGTTCTCGTGCTCACAGGTTGCGTGGCCAGGCTACCTAAGCCCTGCGGCCCTTAATGTTCCTTCCCTGCTCACGGTGGACCACACTTCACAATGATTAAAACAAATGGGAAAACACACGTCAGGCCCCTGATAGGGCAGGTTACGAAGAGCATTTCACGGTGCTGCTATGATGGGGAAAACAACCAATGATCTTCTCAAATTCCTCATTACATTCTAAGATAGTCTGTGTTAAACAGGGGACAATGAAAAGCTGTGTGTGGCTAGTGCCTTGCCTTCCAATAGCACCTCTGAGTAACCACAACCTGCTGACTCAAAAAAGAACACCTGCTGGATTCGTGTGCATATGTAAATTTCCTTATTAAGGAGCATCGACTCAAAAGACTTACTGTAAGTTTTATGGCCTTCTCTGGGGCAACTCCTAATAGCTGTGGCAACAGACCTAAAAATCAACAAGAAGCAGAAATATATTAAATAAATTAGCATTAACTAAACAAATCAACAGCTCTGCAGAAGGGATCACCACTTAAAAATTGGGGCAATCTTTGCTGTAATTTTCTGCTATTACCTTTAATGAGAATACTTGAAATGGAATGTTTAAGTACTAACTTCTAACAGCCACATCTAACAGTAAATGCCCTTGCACATTCTGGGTAGTTTGCGTGCTGGGTAAATCAACAGTACTAGTGATACAGGAAATGTCTTACTTTAGGAAAAGTCTGTGCCTCTCTCCTTCATGCCTCCTAGGTCCGCGGACATATGCCATACATTTTTGTAGCGTTTCTCTCAGCTCAGCCACTCATTCACTGGACAACTACGACTCCTGGACCAGCACAGGACAGCAAGTAACATTAGCGCTCACATGTCTCACACGCAAAAGAAAAGCCTTCCAGGGCACAGAGCTGGACAAAGACAGGGAACAAACAGCACAAGGAAAGGAGCAGAGCAGCCTGATGTGCGTGGGACGGAAGCAGAACGTTGGCCTGGCCTGCCAGTGGGACACAGAGAGCAGCCCAGGTGGGCACCAGAGGCTTCGGCTGTGCCACAGGTCAGCATCCTGGGCCTCATTCATTCCCAGTTAGAAAAGAGGGAAGCTGAAGGTTTTAACCACGACAGCAGAATGCTAATCCATAGTGTTAAGGGACTATTCTGGCTGCTGCGTGGAGGAGACAGGATGTACACACACGTGTACCTGCATGTGGTATGTGTGCGTGTCTCAGGAGACTGAGGGAGAAAGCTAGGGTTGGCCCAAATGGGTCAGTGTTTAGCATGAACAACTGGCAGAGATAAGGAAGAACGAATTACAGAGCTATAAAACAGTTCTGGAGTGACAAATAAAGACCTCTAGCATGGACAAGATTCAGCGTAGAAGGCAGGTGCGGCCTTTGATAGGAAAGGGCCACTTTTTAAACATGTAGTTAAAACAATAGTGGGGCCACATATCTGAGCTAAAAAGTGTCATTTTCATTTGCTATAAGAAACTAAATTAATGAAAATTAAGACAATTGTCTTAAAACACCCTCTAGGCTAACCTGGAGCGCACGTCACACTGTGTCATAGCACGTCCAGGGCGAGGAGGGGGGAGTTGCTGCATGGTACTCTCTTATGTCAGCAAGTACACCTTTTCAATGCATTTATACTGAGGCTCTACTCGTAGCCCCTTCTCACTACCACCCTTACTGCATGTCACTGAGACAGGACCGGAACACCCAATCCACCGAGGTCCCTACTCCCCCTACTGCCGGCACCCCAAGCACCCGTGCTCACTGTTCTGCTCTGCTGACAGGCTCGCAGCACAAGAGTTTCTTTTTGCTTATGGCTGTACAGAAGGGGAATGCTAACAGGCCCAGACAGCTTCATGTTTTAGGAAAAAAGTAGGAACAGCTCATTTCACTGAAAAACTAAATAATGAGGATGCTGACACTAATGAAAATTTAAAAGACAGCTATAGAAAGTTTATTATGTGCGAGCAACCATCTTAAGGACTTTCTTAAACCATTTAATCCTCCCAACCGCACTAAAGAAAGGAAACTAAGGCATACACAGATTAAGTAATTTCTTCTAACTTACCTAGCTTTGGTAAATGGCAAGACTGGGATTTCAAACCTAGGCTCGCCTTTTTGAGTTTATACCACCGGTCACTCCTCAAGCCCGTCAAATAGTTAACATAATTTCCTACTCAGCCTGAGCTGCTCCGTTCCATGACCTGCCTGGATCCCACAAGCATCTGAGGTTGCAACCCCTTCTCTAGGTGACCACGTTTTCAGAGCCTGCTCCATCCTGAATGAAGACACCTAAAGGATCTGCTGCCAGAATTCAGCAGTGGGAACCCTGTGGCCGGCACCAGAAGTGGAGCCAGCCAGTAAGGATCCCTCCTCAGAAGCATGAGAGCCTTGAAGGGCAATAAAGCTGGTTAACACAGAGGGACGCACCAAAGCGAGGTAATGAGTGAAGAAGGGAAAACACAAGCTGCAAGCGAAGTCTGCTCCTGTCACAGGGAAGCAGAGTAAAGGCAGAAGGAGGGGTGGTGGAGAGTACTTGGGGCAGGCACAGAGGTCCAGGTGTGGTGGCACACACCCGCAATCCCAGCAATCCCAGCACTCAGGAGGCTGAAGCAGGAGGATCACGGTCAGTTTGAGACCAGTAATGGGCTATAAAGTCAGCTCAAGGTCAGCCTGAACTGCATAGTGAGACCCTGTCTCAAAAAAGACAAAACAACAACAACAACAACCAAAAAAAAAAAAAGGAAAGCAAGCATGCAAGCACGGAAGCGCCACCCATGAGAGGGGCTAGGCTGGCTCTGACTGCCTTCTGGACCCGAGCCAGGCTTCAGGGCACCTTGTATCCTTGTGCCCCGCAAGAGTTCTGCCTTTCTTCTCCCTCGCATGAACTCACAGCAAATGCCTCCCTTGTGTGCCTGCCAGCTTGAGCGAGGCTGTGCGCTTTATAAACTAAATGAGCCAACACAGCGCGTAAGAGAAAGCAGGAATGGGAACCACCAGGGCCGAGTAAGTGCTTCCAGGAAAAGCAAGCATTCTTGCCTCTTCAAATGCACTCATCAATCTTGTTAGAAGTTACCTATGAGATGAAGGGTTTAGTTAGTACCCAGTGAAAATACAACATGAAGGCCGGGGAGATAGCTCAGCGATCTACGCGCCTGCCTGGCAAGCACAAGGACCCAGACTCTAGCCCCAGCACCACATGCAACGCTAGCCTAGTGAGAGCCTGCACCAAATAAATAAATAAATAAATAAATAAATAAATAAATAAATAAATAAATGTGATTTTAAAAATACAACATTAGTTTCTACTAGTTAAAAAGGAGGCAAAAGCTGTTTGCCCTACATTTAATATCTGAAATCTCTATTTCACTTTCTGTATTCAGACCATGAGCTAGAAATGTTTTAAGTATTTACTTGTTAGGTATGTCTCTGTCATCAATAACTGACCAAAACAGTGGATGGGCGGAAGGCACTAGGGTTTAAATGATGATCTCTTGTCTCCATAATCACTGTGATAGTCTTTTTAAATGACTAACAAAAAGTAGCCTAAACAGCCAAGTGATTGTTAAATGTTAGATATTCACTTCAGCTAGCCTTGTAGCCCACTGAGATTTGTCTTTTTTCACTAGAAATTTAGTGATGCACTGTGAACTGCAGAAAACAAGGCACCATGTCCTGTCTTGAAGGCATATACGAGAGCAACAAATATTCATTATAGAACATTTATCAAATGTTCTCTCCATGTAGCTGGTATTACAATGAATACAACGACATGGGTGTCTCTTCCTCAGAAATTCTCAGTGTAGAAAAAAGTAAACTCTAATTGTCTCCATGTACCAGAAAGGAGACATCTGCAAGCAGCCTGGTAAGTACGAGCCCAGGAGCATCGCAGCACTGGGAGCACACCGTGGAGAGAACCAGTTGTCCTGCCCCTAACAGGAGAAAAGGATCAAGGGAGGGAAGTCATCTCCCCTAGGGCCTTATCAGCAGGCTGCAGTCCCCTGAAGAGAAGGGACAGGACCAGAGGGACTGGCACTGTGGTCCTGGAAAGGGGACCATACGCTAAGGCCCCAAAATCTAAGGTGATAGCACACTTAGTCAGGGCAGGGTCACTGCAGACTGCAGCTGGATCACAGATCCTGTACTACGTAACAACGGTATCACTGGGCACACTTCCTAAACACGAGGTGCTACTGCAGTGTGTTTTATGTGAACTGACACATTTAACCTACATGACACTGTATGCAGTATGTGCCTTTTATTTTGTTTTATGAGACAGGATATGCTATGTAGCCCAGGTTGGCACTGCAATCATGATCTTCCTGCCTCGCTTCCCAAATGCCAGGATTACAGGTCACAATGCCACGTCCAGCGGTGTGTGATGTTTCATCTCCACTGTCTGGTGAAGAAACTGAGGTTGACTTCAACGAAGCTGCCTAAGGTCACCTAGTAAGAAGGGCAGTGGCATTCAGCCACCTGGTTCCAGCCTCTGTGCTCATACCTGGCAAGGAACAGTACTTCTTTCAAACTTAAGCCACATTAAAGAACAAGGATCAAATTTGGTTGACATGTGGGATGGCCTTTAAGTAACAAGTAAGGTTCAAACAGTACAATGTGATAGAGGGAGTTGAGTAGCAGCGGCAAGGACAGGGCCCAGGGCAAGAAGAACAATAATGAAGTTCAACTAATATAATCAGAAGTCACAAGTTACGTTATAGTAAATGAAGAACTTCAATTCAGTAAGAATAAAATCAAAGTAAATGATCCATTCATTTCTAAGGACTGGGGCAGATGTTGGCACTCAAAGGCCATGGAGAAGAACCCTGTGGCAGTCACTTTGGCTAATGAGAGAAACAGCTGGCAGTAGGTTACAAGCTAACGCCCTCCACACATGTGGCCTTGCGCCATAGTTCGGGTAAATGCTCTTCAAGAGACGGCATGATCTGTGGGATAATTAGAAAAAATGCCTGCAGAGGTGGGATTTCTTTATACCCTGCTTACACCTTGACCTCAGGACAAGTAACGTGGCTCAGTAAGGCCTAGGCCCTACTTTCTAGTTAAGATACTCCTGCAGTCACTTTCTGGTTTCCAGGGCATCTGGGTAACTCAGCAGAAAAAATCAGGTTTGTAATATAAGATGTTTCTGTTGGGTCCTGCAAACTCACTTTAACCATTCAAAACAGAGACTGGATGTGTGTGTTGTTTCTAACTTGTCAAAACAGCAGTCCATTTTCCAACTGCCTCGAGCGAAATTTATTAGTGCGGTTAGTTTTCTAATCTTCTCCTTTGAGTTCGGCTCCATCAGCACATATGGCAATGCTTCTGTGGCAAACTTTATTCTCCCAGAAGGTTGCTAATGCGAGAAAAGATTTACAGGGCACAGCATTAATACAGTATTTTGTCTTCAAATTTCACAGGTTGGAGACATAAATCACACTAG